AGGGGATATGAGGAGATTTTGGTCAGGGAGTTACAAAGTTTAACCGATGCAAAATAAGTTCTAGAGATCTAATATACAACAATGTGGCTATAGTTCATATTTTACTAAATAATTGAAATTTGCTACGAGTAGGTCTTAAGTGTTCTCAACACACACACAAAAAAAAACCTGGTAACTATATGAGGTGTTGGGTATGTTAATTATCTTGATTTTGGTCAATATTTTACAATGTATACATAAATCATCTTTTTAACTGTCAGCTGTACCTCAGTAAGTTGGGGGAGGGGGTCCAAAAAAAGACAGCAAAACAAGAGCAGAACTTTCATTCAAATTCTGATGTGCTAAGTCAACAAACACTTAGGGAATCAGGTTAGTAATGGGGTATTATCAGCCTCACTAGTGTGCTGCAACAAATGCTCAAAACATGCAGTTTTTTTACATATGTTTGTATTTTCAAATGGCTTCACAGATAACACTTATTTGTGGCCAGGCACAGTGGCTCACGCCTGTAATCCCATCAACCTGGGAGGCCAAAGTGGGAGGATTGTTTGAGACCAGGAGTTGGAGACCAGCCTGAGCAAGAGTGAGACCCTGTCTCTATAGAAAAATTAGCCAGGCGTAGTGGCACACACCTGTAGTCCCAGATATAGTCCCAGCTACTCAGGAGGCTAAGGCAGAAGAATCCCTTGAGCCTAGGGGAGAGTGTGAGGTTGCAGTGAGCTATCATGATGCCGCTGTACTCTAGCCCAGGTGACAGAGCAAGACTCTGTCTCCAAGAGAAAAAAAAAAAACCTTATTTGTATTACTTCTTCCTTCATAAGAAACAACAAAGTTTGTAGAAATAGGAAAGTATGAATTATGGGTAGAAAAGTGTACATTTTTCCTGTGAGGCTGGACTTACAGGACATCCTATAAAATTTATGGTTACTGTCACTGAGAAACCAAGTACTTAATGTAGGAGAAGAAAGAAAAGAGGTTAAGAAATACAAAATTAAATCATTTTATGAATCAGGCAGCTGCAGTTCACATGCTTATCACATAAACTGCTGTGTGAGTTGTATTTAACTCTGCTAATTTTGAGCCTGGGACCTTGTGAACCATGTGTAAATCACATATCTCTTTACCTTGGGAGCTGCTTGAACTATTTTTCAAGTTGCATATAACTCAAGCACAGAAAACAATAAAAATAATGCATTTTTCATTAAATGAGAAAAACAAATCATTTTGTTTTCGAAGTTTTTATTCTATTTTCGTAGTAAAACACCACGGCCCCTAGGGGAAAATAATTTTTTTTTTCTAGTGTGGTAGTCAATGTGTTATATACTGGTAGGATACCATCCATGTTAAATTGGGCACTAGACTAGGATGTCGGAAAATTATGACCTATAGTCCAAATCCAGTTTGCCATCTGTTTTTGTCAATTAAGTTTTATTGGAATGAAAAAAATGTGAACAAGAAAGAAAAAGCATGTTGCTGGTTCTTTGGTTTGTTAAAAGAATGTTCACATTCTCGTTCAGTATTCTGTTCTTTTCACTCCTTTGTTTTTAAGTGTAATTAGACATTGATGTGTCCTCATATTTTATTTAAATGTTTTTAAATATAGCTAGAATATAACGAACAGTTATTACAGAGGTTCAGAAATGAAATTAGAGCATTTGTCACAGTAAGGTAGTGTTCAGACACTAGATGCTATTTGGTTGTTAATTGAATAAAGGAATAAAGAAAACAGTGGTATATGCACTAACTCCTTAAAAATAAGCAAGGTGAGTATTTCAGACTCTGAGTTTTCTTCATATAATCTCTTTACTCTTTCAAAAACTAGTTTTTCTCATGAAAAGATTCCTGTTTTGCCTTAGCATAATCCATTACTTGTGAATCAAGAGTAGGAGGGAGGAGGAACATACAATGAAATAAGGTTGGTCTTGACAATTATTGAAGCAGGATGAATACATGAAGGCTCATTTTACTATTCTCCCTACTTCTGTATATGTTTGAAACTTTCCATGATAAAAAGTAAGAAAAGATCCCCTTGTAGTTCTTAAGCATGATGGTTGGGTTTTCATAGGCCTGTGTGAGATGTGCCTCTCTCAAACCTTGTTAGGATGTAGGCACATTACCTGTCTGACATTTTAAAAAGTAAGAAAAGTAAAAGAGAATTCCCAAAAGATCAAAAGTCACTTTATGAAAAAGATACCTGTACTCGAATGTTTATAGCAGCACAGTTCACAATTGCAAAGCTGTGGAAACAACCCAAGTGCCCATCAATTCATGCGTGGATTAATAAAATGTGGTATATGTATACCATGGAGTACTACTCAGCTTTAAGAAACAATGGTGATATAGCACCTCTTGCTAAGTGAAGTATCTCAAGAGTGGAAAAACCAGCACCACATGTACTCACCAGCAAATTGGTATTAATGGATCAACACCTAAGTGGACATATAGGAGTAACATTTATCGGGTGTCGAGAGGGTGGGAGGGGGGAGGAGTGGATGAGTGTATACAACCACAACGAGTAAGATGTGCAACGTTTGGGGGATGGACATGCTTGAAGCTCTTACTCGAGGTGGGAGGGGGCATGGGCAATATAAGTAACCTTAACACTTGTACCCCCATAATACGCTAAAATAAAAAAAAAAAGTAAAAGAAAAAAACAATTATTTAAAAACTTTTTTCAGGAAAGAAGCTTGTATGGTGGCTGTTTGGGGAAAAATAAGAAATCAATCATTTTTTGCCTTAAAGCTAAAGTAGGGAGACATTAATTTCATTTATAGAGTTTTATTTAGTTCTTGGAATCAGTTCTGCTTCGCAATGTGGAGATTTTTTTTTAACAGCTAAAATTAAACGTGGGAATCACATGTCATTCTTTGCAATCTAACTTCCTTTTTTTTCTTTTACAGTTTTACTTATTTAGTTTCCAAATACCTCTGATAAAAGTATTCATAATTCTAAGTACCAAATGAAATTGTGCAGATATAAGAAAACCACTGAAGATTTTCATTTAAAAAACTTTTATAGATCCCCTATCGATTACATTAAGTACTACTTAAATAACAGATTGAAGTGTAAAATGGTACTTACTTAGGGTCCCCATTCTTAAGATTTTAACCTTTGCAGTTAAACAAAAGGAATAGACAAACTTGTACTAAAAGTGCACCAGGTGGGAATGTTTTCTAACTAATGCCTGAGATCAAAATTCCAGTAAGACGGAAGGCTCCTGAGATTAAAACAGTTTCCCAGCTGTGCGGTGTGATTTTAGGTGGTAAGAAGTCAAACTTATTTGAACTTTATTTCTTTTAATGCGTTTCAGGGCATGCTAACTAGTATTGTCAGACTCTTGATTTTTCAATTATTGTTACTTAAGACTTAATTAGATGTTTTTAAATTTTTCAATTTGGGGAAAATACTATATAAATTACACTCAAAAGTGTATGTGGGCCGGGCGCGGTGGCTCACTCCTGTAATCCTAGCACTCTGGGAGGTCGAGGAGGGCGGATTGCTCGAGGTCAGGAGTTCGAAACCAGCCTGAGCAAGAGCGAGACCCCATCTCTACTATATAAATAGAAAGAAATTAATTGGCCAACTAATATATATAGGAAAAATTAGCCGGGCATGGTGGTGCATGCCTGTAGACCCAGCTACTTGGGAGGCTGAGGCAGGAGGATTGCCTGAGCCCAGGAGTTTGAGGTTGCTGTGAGCTAGGCTGATGTCACAGCACTCACTCTAGCCTGGGCAACAAAGCGAGACTCTATCTCAAAAAAAAAAAAAGTGTATATGCATGTGGCAAACATTGTGACAAATGGAAAACCAATTCCTAAAGTCGGGGGCTTTGCAATAAAATCTCTATAAGACTAATCAGTGAGTAAGGTGCTGCTAAGGGGGAACAGAGTACCAAAGATCACTTGATTATTTAAATTTGTTATAAGAACTTCCTATATTTTCATCTGCTAAGTATAATTGTTTTAAAATAACAGAAAAGGTATCATTTACTTACCAACTTAGCAGAGTAGGTAGAATTTGCATATTAATACACATTGTTTTAACATAATTTTGAATCTTCAAATTATATACCTTGGTGGAGAAATCCAACAATGCATGCTCCTTTTACCTTAAACTTCCCCAAAATAATTTATAGGAATACTGTTCTAAATTTATTGTGAATCCCAAATTTTTAAAAGTAGTTTCATAAATGTAATTTCATATTAGAGACATTTGAAGAATATAATTATTCTGTATGTGAAAGATGCCACTATCCATTTAGAACATTGGCCTCTTAGAACTGCAGTGACCTTTATTTTAAAATAAGAAACCTGTGATTGATCTGAAATCAGGAGTTAATAGCAAACCCTGGAGCAGAACTTCATTCTCACAGCTTTCAATCCCATATTGAATGTGATAAAAAATAAAACAAGAAATAAAGTATGGCAATGTTTTTACACTGATTTACTTCTCCAGGATCTATTGTTGATGTATAGTTAAATAAGACTGTAGGAATTAGTTTGTCTTTAATTTTGTTTGTGTCATTCAAGACTTACATTTTCAGCAGATAGAGAACATGTATTAACAGAAAATTCTATTTCTGGTTGAAAACAAACATAAACACTACTTCAGTGGGAAATGAAACTGTAACATTATTTAATCAGACTGTCAGTATTTTTCTGCATTAGGACACCTTTTCACAATCTTAAGTGATACTGTGGGAATCTTTGCTATTAGATACCCTTTCTCTTGCTATAAACTGGAGAAAATGATGCTGTTTTCTCCTTTAAGGAGATATGACGGTGATAACATCATGTCCATGTTGCTATTTTCCTGAAGGGAGAAGTACCAGCTTGATAGAGGTTGGTGATGCTCAAGCATGTGTGTCAGTTTCAGTTAGATGCTTCATTTGGTTAACAAGCTGCTTCATGCTGTGCAGTACAGATGGTATTTAAAGTTGCCAGTAATTTTTTAGACTTTGCGATTTTTACTTCTAAAATAATCTTTTTGCTTCCTTACAGATCAAAGGTCCACCATCAAAACACCAAAGACTCAAGACACAGAAGATGATGAGGGAGCTCAGTGGAATTGTACTGCCTGTACTTTTTTGAACCATCCAGCCTTAATCCGCTGTGAACAGTGTGAGATGCCAAGGCATTTCTGAGCCAGAAGGCCCTGTATCTTTTCTAAAACACATCTGAAGTTCAAGAAATTAGTTTGTCGTCGGGGAAAAGTTTCACTGCTACATAGGGTTTTGTCAAATTGAAGGTGTGACAAGATGGTGGTGTGCTAATGCTAAATGTCAGCCCACAGAGCTAATAATACCTCAGTATAATGTCATGGGCAGTTGAAATTCATCACATGAAAGGTATTCTGCCAGAAGACTTCGGTGCCCACTGCCTAACCATGTACAGTGTTACCAGTATCCCATATGGATAATTCTCAATATGTTAATGCCTAGGTGTTCCCAGTACCTTTTCCCCTCATGTCACTACTGAATTTTGACAAGAGGAAGGAATAGAACGATAGCTTTTTTTATTTTTAAAGCTTTCAGTGAAACACTACATACACGAAGAAAAGGAACAAGGTTTAACTATTTAAAAACTGTTTTGCTGCCGCATAGTGCCATTGGATAGGGGAAGAAGTTCACAAATCTGTGGTACTCTTGGCCTTGTCTTTGTCTTCCCTGAAACGTCTCCACTCTGTGAAACCAGCATCTAGGGGCTAAAGATGCAAAGGAAAGCAGCATGCATTGTCTGTACAAACATACAGTGAAATACCCCAAAGCTTTTCCTACTGTACAGATTCTTGAGTCTGCTTTAAGTGATTTCTTTTCTTCTTTATTATTTTCTTATATTTCTATATGTATAGTGTAATAGCCTTTTGTTAACTAATTTTCTTTTTTCCTTTTAGTGATTAAGCACGATCATGTCCCTTTTTAAGCCTTACCTGAGAGAAGCAATGCCTTAAAATAAAAAAGCATTAATGAGATGAAACTATGCACAGAATAATTTCCCTCTACTTATTCTGTACTTTGCCCTCATGAGTGCCAGTGTTCTGTGAAGACATACAGATGCAGCCAGTGAATCGCAGGCAATATTATAAGAATTATGTCTGTAGCTCACAGTGTATACTGACTTGAGCAGTGGGTGACACAACACAATGTTTTTTCTTCCACGGGAAAGCTTTAAACAAAGATATTTTTAACCCACTGACAGAACAACAACGCTGAGCTTGCTTCATACACTTGGTGTCCCACAGAACTTTCACAAGAGATTTATTATTGGGAAAGTACAGTTTCAAAACCAGCAATAGCAGCAGTACCTACAGCCCTTGTTTTGAAGAGAAATTTAAATGCTTTACTGTTGGGGCAATCCATTTCTAAACCTGACTTGGTGGCAGTATCATGAGTATTTATGAAACAAGGCTGGTCATATTTAGGACAACTGAAGAAAAGCTGGAAAAAAAGAAAAGCAAACTTGAACACTGAAGCAACCTCAAGCATCTCTTTATATTGATGATATATTTTTGTAAGGAAAATAAATATTCAGATGATCAGGAATGTATATAACTAAATGGAATCAAGAAAAAGAAAGTAACAGTATGCATTTAAAAAGACAGAATTATGAAATTATATATCAGTACCGAGCATGGGGCTAAGGGAAGTGCTGAAATATAGCAAAAGATAGAAGATAATGTAGACTGTCACCCACTGTAAATGTTTGCAAGTGGCTATGTTTCAAATAAACAGGATTATTACAAGTGATTTCTATGAATGTCAAAGCCTTGACTTTCAAGCTTTGCATTTTGTATATGGGAAGAAATATGACAATCCTAGTTAATTAGACAATAGACCCAAAGCCCTTACATTTGATGCATTTTGTTTTAAAAATAGGCCTTGTTTTTCAGCTTCATCTGCAGTTCTATGTGAAGATTGATAAATCAGTTTTTACTTGTTTTATTAATAAAACGTAATTTGGATATCTTGAGTTGATGGTTTTGTGATTTAGCTGGGTAAACTATCTTTGTAACAGATAAGTTATTTATAAAAATTAAAAAACTTATATTCTAATGTGGATTTTGTGAGTTGTTTTTAAAGCTTGTGGGACAGGAGATAATTTATAGCTCAGCAGAACTTTAACTGTTAATTGAAATTAGAGAAAACTCATTCTCTAGAGTCTTCTCGTGATATCATGGCATTCAACTGCATTTCTTGGATTATTTTTATCATTTTCCCCAGACTTCTTTTGAACTGATGAAAGGAAGCAACCATGATTCAACTGAGCCAGAAAAATGGATATTGCTTTTTTAATAGTTTGTTGTAGCTTTCCATTTCATTTATTTTGGGGGGTTGAAAATTTACCCCGTCATTGAAAACAAATGTGATTTCTCGGGCCATTTAACCTGTGTAGTCATTTGGTTAATATTTGCTCTATCTGATGATATGTAACATAGGTGCTGAGGATAATGGTGCTTCTCTTGAAGAAAATTTTTATATTCACAGCTTTCACGGAATTATGACTCAAGAGTTTTTCTGATCCTAAGAAAAGCAAAGTAGAATTTGCTGATCTCTCCACGACACAGTAGTATGATATAATAGAAAGGCCTGCCTTGAATGGTCTTTGTTTTTGTTTTGTTTCCTTGAAACAAGGTCTCACTGTGTTGCCTGGGCTAGAGTGCAGTGTCATCATAGCTCCCTTCAACCTGCAGCACCTCAAGCAATCCTCCTGCCACAGCCTCCCAGGTAGCTGGGACACAGCTAATTTTCTTTTTATTTTTTATAGAGATAGGGTCTTGCTATGTTGCCCAGCTGGTTTCAAACTCCTGGCCTTAAACGATCCTCCTGCCTCAGCGTTGTGCTGGGCTTACAGGCATGAGCCACCATGCCCAGCCTTGAATGGTCTTTTAAACCTAGTAGGAAGGAAATATCCTTTGCCAAGGTATATGAGGTCAGAACATGCTGGTCATCTGGAGAATACCTTCAGGAATTCTTGCACTAAAATAGAATTATAGATCTAAGAACCTCCATTGGAAAGATGGACTTCTAAGTGTTTCTTGACACTAATTTACTGAGTACCAACATTCTCCTTCCTTTCCTTTCCTTTCCTTTCCTTTCCTTTCCTTTCCTTTCCTTTCCTTTCCTTTTCCTTTCCTTTCTTCTTTGGACAGAGTCTCACTCTTGCCTGGGCTAGAGTGCTAGTTGTCCAGCTAATTTCTTTCTACTTTTTTTTTAGTAGAGGCGGGGTCTCGCTCTTGTTCAGACTGGTCTTGAACTCCTGAGCTCAAACGATCCGCCCCTCGAGATCTTCCCAGATCCCCCAGAGTGCTATGATTACAGATGTGAGCCACCACACCTGGCCTCTTTTTTCTTTCTTTTTGAGCTGCCACACAGCAGCAGGGTGCCATTATCCTCTATATTTAAAGAACTTGGGGAGTGGAATTGGTGGAGCGTGTAAACTGGACTTCTCAGGAAAACTTTCATGTTAACAAAATACCAGCCAGTATCTACTGTCATAACTAATAAAAAGATTGGTGCTATATTGCAAATTTTTGTGAAAAAAATGAAAATTTAATTTTCTTTTAAAATCTCCGTTTAGTTTTTTAAATGACCAACCTGAATCAGTCTAGAGTCTCATATTAATTGGTTTTATATTGGAGAATTGAAATTGTGCTGAAAATCATATCTACAGATAGTCCAAAACTATTAGGTCATTAAATATGAAATGTCCAACTTCAAATCAAAAGTGTAGTTTATTATATCTCAAACAAGAAGCAGTACAATAATCAAAGTATGCACCTAAACTGTCAAAACAGTTTTGCTATCCTAATGGTAGCTTGTTTATTCCAGGAGCGAAGAAACCTGTAGAGTTAGTGGAGTTAAAATCACGAAAGGCATTTTCCACAGCCTGTTGAGAATGTAATATTTTTCCTTGCAAGAAGTGGTCCAAAGCCTGGAAGAAGCGGTAGTCAGTTGGTGCAAGGTCTGGTGAATACAGTGAATGACATAGAGTTTCTAAGTCCAGCGTCTAGTTTGAGCATTGCTGTTTGTGTGACATGTGGTCTAGCGTCTTGCAAAATGATTGGCCTGTCTCTATTTACCAATCTCGGCTGCTTCATCCCACACACCCTCACCATTTTGTCCAATTGGGTGCAGTAGACATTGGCTGTAATTGACCAAGTTTCATGAAGCTGTAGTGGATAATACCAGCGCCAGACCACCAAACACACCGTTAGCTTTTTTTGATGAATATTCAGTTTTGGACTGTGTTTCAGCACTTCATCTTTATTCAACCATTGTGCCAAATGCTTGCAATTGTCAAGAAATCCATTTTTCATCACATGTAACAATACGGTATAGAAATGGTTCACCTTTATGTCATGACAGCAAAGAAAGGCAAGCTTGGAGATAATTTCTCTTCTGACACTCGCTTAATTCATGAGGAACCCATCTATCCAGCTTCTTTACCTTGCTGATTTGTTTCTAATGGTTCAATATTGTTGGAATAGTAACTTCAAACCTTGCTGTAAATTCAGCACAGATTGAGATAGATTCTCTTCCACTACAGCTTTCAGCTCATCATTATCCACCTTGGTCTCAGGCCACCCATGTGGCTCATTTTCAAAATTAAATTCACCGGAAACGGAACTTCTCAAACCGTCAACGTACGGTGTGTTCATTAGCCACATCCTTCCCAAACACTTTGTTGGTATTTCAAGTTGTCTGTGCTGCATTGGTTCCACGATTAACCAATATCATATCCAAAAATAACCCCCCAAATCTTTGACCTATCCATGGTTTCACAAAAACTGCTCCAAAAAAAAAAATGTGAAAGATAATCACAAGCCAAAACATGTATTAGGAAGACTGAGGATGTATCTTCACTATAAAAATAAGAAGTGTCAGTGAAATGTCAGAGATATAAACTGTCAAACTCAGTACTTAAGGAAATTGGACATTTTATACTTAATAACTTAGTATATTAGCTATTAACTTTATATTTTAGTCAAAGCATTTATAAATAGTAAAATTAACTGACATTTTGTCAATGTAATGTTGATAGGAAATTCTAGTGAGCAAAGATAGGTTTAAGAGTAAACAGTATAGTATTCAGCCCATGAGTAATTGAAATTGGCTGTATTGCCCTAGAAAATAATCCAGGGGCACCAAAGACTGTTCCAGGTTTAATGTCTATACACTGGGTATTAGCATAGTTTCCCACATAATATTACAAAATACTTGACACAACAAGTAAACATATTTTTGGCTCTGGTTTTTTAGAGCTATAATATATACATTTCACTTGAAAATGACATGGCTCAGAGCTGCATTTTAATTTTTGTTTCTTCCATCTGAAAATATAATTAGGCAACTTAGAGAAAAGGTCTCTTGTAAAGAAAACACAACTTTGCAGCTTTGTATTAAGTTAGGATTTTTTTCCTTCACAGTATGTAGTAGGCTGGTTTGGAGTTTTGGTTTAGAGAGTTAGTGTAGTTAATCATATAAAAATGCCTTGTCTTTGCAACTGTAAACTTCTTACTTATTGATTCAAAAATAGAATTACCATGTTGCATTATAATAGTAAGCTATTTAGAGAGGTTATAAAAGCAGCTGCATTTTTAACAGTATTCTTTATATATTGATGTACACAGAACATTTTTAACACCATGGTACCCTGTTCCTCAGGTAGACCTCTCAATTCTATAAGAGTCAGGAAAGTTAAGATCCAATCCGGACACCTCCATAGATTTACCCTGTAACCCTAGGGCAGTTCCCTACTTTTATTTCCTCTCTTTGTTAAGTGAAGCTAATTATACTAATGTTAAACCCACCTCACAGGGGTGTTGTGAAAAGTAATGTGAAACTGTCATCTGAGCCTACTACCCCTTCTCTTGCACTAGGAACTGCATTATCCTAAAAGTGGGTCATGTTTTTACATGAATGGGTTTTGAGCTATTTTTCTCTGAACAGTATTAACAGGTAAGTTTGCCGTTTATGTCTCTGAATTGCTCTAGGGCCATCTCAGTGGATCCAAATTTAATGTTTCAGTCACTGAGGTAGAATTTTTCCCTCTTAATTAATGTCAAAGCTTGGTTGCCTTACAAAGATTATTAAAGTATCAAAGGCTGACCTGAAGATCAAGTGTGTCTATATTTCTATTGTATGTCTAGCTATTTAAATGTACATTTTATGATGGCGTATAACAAATTATTTCTACAGGAAAATAAACACTTTATTCAAGGGACTTCAGCGTCTGCACATCTGCATATTGTTTTAAGCCTAAAACTGACCGAGGCAGTCTAGTCACTCACTCTAGACACTCATGTCACTCTGGTACCTCCCTCCCCAGGGCCCGTTCCTCCGCTCTCTTCCCTGGCTGACGGCAGCCTTCCTCTGTCACCATATGGAACCCCATTGCAGCTCTTCATTCCGAAAGTGCTTCTTATCCTCATAGCACAGCAAACAAATACTGCAGTTTCTTCACCCTGGAAATGCTTCCCAGATATTTGTTGTTGTTTAGAGACAAGGTCTCACTCACTATGTTGCCCAGGCTGGCCCCGAACTCCTGGGCTCCAGGGATCCTCCTGCCTCAGCCTCCCAAGTAGCTGGGACGACAGGCCCGAGCCACTGCCCCTTGGCTCCAGAGAGTTTAAAAAGAAAAAACTTTCACCTCTGAGCCCACCCATGAGTTGTTAGGCTTAGTGCCCTTTCACACCGTGACCTCACTGATTCCCCTGCCTCCAGGTCCCTGCAGCTAGATCCCAATCAGTATTGCAGAGCTAACACTGCGTCCACGTCCCGGTCAGACATCTTGATTGTTTCCCACATTGTTCACTGGGCTTACTTGTAAGACTCTGTCGTCTGTTCCTTACTTGCCTCTTCAACTTCCTTCGTTACTTTCTGGTAGAATCCGGCTACAACCGAATTGGCCTAATCACCCCTGTAATAGGTCTTGCACACACACGCCCCCGCCAGTGTACTGGTGTCCATCCTGTCTGCCCATCTCGCTGTTTAAGTTTAACCTTTCAAGGACCACCTCAAGGGTCAAGATCACAAGTCCTTTCCAGACTGCACCTT